CCTTAACACTAATAAAATGGATAAATGGGTCAAGTTCCTGTGCTTTTATTTTCAGCTGTGTAGTTCCCCGCAGGTCATGTAGGACATGCAAATGTCAATAAAACAGTACCGAGAACTTAGAGTGTCGTGTCCACGTCTCCCTCACTCCTCTGCAGACAGACCTGCAAGATGCTCATCTTCAAACTCCCAAATTCAGAACGAGAGGAAGACAAGAACTCACCCTTGGACAAGCATCTCTTACCCTGGGCAGGCCAGTGTGAACGCAGATGCGGCGCTCAGCCGCTCGGTATTGCGGGTACTCGCCCAACCGAAAATCCCGACGCTTTCTGCGCTTCACCGTAACCTCCCTGTAAAAGGAGGATTCGCATTTTCCCGCGTAACTCACGCGAAGCCCAGATTCACCGGGGTGACTTGGGATCAACTCCATGCCCTCTCCTTGACGCGCTCACCCCAGGCAGGCTCAGTTCCCACCTGGGCGCCTCAGTCGCCCTGCACAGCACACAGATCCCGGGATACTCCCGAGGCCCCCATCAGCGAGGGGCTGGAGGGCAGCCCGAGGCCGTGTTCAGCTTAACCCATCCCTGCCCAGGGGGGTCCCACAGGTCCTTCCCAAGTGAAACCACCCTGCGCAGCCTCAGCTACAGGCCTTCCCAGAACCTCTGGGATCAACTGCTCCCAGAGTGGTTAATTAAGGTAATTAAACCTCAAAACCCTTCTGACTGTGCTGACCCGACCATTCCTTGCCCGTGTGGGCAAGGGGGGGGGGCGATGGATGCCACGTCACCGCCAGCAGCCCGCGGACGGGGCCGGGTGCTGCAGCAGACACCCCCAGTCGGGAGGAGGCGCAGCTTTCCCCCGGTCACTCAACAGGCAAGCTGGCTTTATTGTTGTTCCACCGTATAAACAGACACTCTGGCTCTCCTGTACCTTCCATCAACAGGAAATTCCTTACATTATTAACATAATAAATAACATTTCCTCAGCTGTGCAAGTCAAGTGCAAACTGAACTGCCCCGCTACCAAAGGAGAGAGCTCGTCAAAGCACAGATTTCAAGTTAAAAGCAAGATGCCAGGACCAACGGGCACGATCGAGGCACTTGCCGTTTAAAACATGTTGTGTGTCTCCTCCCCCCCCAAAGCTGCGGCCTAGGAGATGGGACGTTACCCCCCACCCACCGCTTTCTCATGAAGCGGGATTGCTGCAGAAAAAACCCCACTCCTCGGACCCAAAAATGAATTCCATCAATCATGAAGCAAAATCATTCAGGAAAGCCGTTTTGCTCCTTTTCCCAGCGCTCGGAGGCGTTAGCACAGAGTACCGCAGCGCAGCAGGAGAGCCAGCGGAGCGCTGTGGTGAGGAGCGCCCCACGGAGCAGCCCCAAGAGTCGCCTCGCACTGGTGCTCAGGGCTGGCG